TCAGCATTTCTGTATCCCTTGGGTAAATTCCTAGCAGTGCTATTGCTGGGTCATAGGGGAGTTCTATTGTTAGTTTCCTGAGGAACCTCCACCCTGTTTTCCAGAGGGGCTGTACCAGTTTACATTCCCACCCACAGTGTAGGAGGGTGCCCGTTTCTCCACATCCTCGTCCTCTGCCCATTTTTAAATCAGATTTTTTGTTTGGTTGGTTTGGTTTGAGTTATATAAGTTCTTTATATTTTTTGGATTTTAACCCTTTATTGGATATATCATTTGCTAATATCTTCTCATTCGGAGGTTGCCTTTTTGTTTTGTTGATGGTTTCCTTTGCTGGGAAAAACTCTTAATTCCAATTTCTCTCTCTTTTTCTCCATGTCTCTCTCTCTATGTCTCTCCCTTTGGTGTAATTCCAGTAGCTTATTTTTGCTTTTGTTTCCCTTGCCTGAGGAGACGTAAGTATAAATATGTTGCTATGGTGAATGTCTGAGAAGATTCTTGACTTTGTTGTCTTTTAGGAGTTTTATGGTTTCAGGTCTCACATTTAATTTTTTTTTTAACATTTATTCATTTTTGAGAGACAGAGAGAGACAGAGCATGAGCGGGAGAGGGGCAGAGAGCAAGAGAGATACAGAATCTGAAATAGGCTCTAGGCTTTGAGCTGTCAGCACAGAGCCCAACTATAGGGCTTGAACTCACAGACCACGTGATCATGACCTGAGCTGAAGTCTGACACTTAACTGACTGAGATCTGAGGTGCCCCTCAGGTCTCAGTCAGTTAAATTAAAGACATTTAGGTCTTTAATCCATTTTAAATTTATTTTTGTGTATAGTAGTCCAGTTTCATTTTTTGGCACACAGCTGTCAAATTTTCCCAGTATGCTTTATTGAAAATACTGTCTTTTCTTCATGGTATGTTCTTGCCTCCTTTGTTATATACTAATTGACCATATAATCGTGGTTTATTTTCAGGATCTCTATTCTTGTCCAAAGGGCTGTATATGTCTGTTTCTGTTCCAGTACCGTACCGCTTTTATTATTATAGCTTTGTAGTATATCTTGAAATCTGGGGTTATGATACCTTTGGCCTTGTTCTTCCCTTTCAAGCCTACTAATCTCATCTTACTAAGTTTTATACTACCTTGACTCAAATCTAATTGAGACTTTTTTACTTCATCCATAAGATAATTATTTGCCAAGCATAATAAATTAGTTCAGAAATAATAGAATAAATCAAAATAAGACAGGAAGAAGGAATTAATACAGATAAAAACCAGAATCAAAAAAACTAAAAAAAATAAATGATAAAGAAATCTTAAGTGTTGATTTGAAAATAGCAAAATTCCTTGATAGCCTGATTATTAAAGAAATAAATGAGCAAAAATACATGATTAAGACTAAAGAGGACACCAACTATCAATACAAGATAAATTAATCATAAGACAATATAACCATAATTCTGTGGCAACATGTGACACATAGATGAAATGAATAATGTTCTATCAAACATTATTAAAATGGAATATTATGAAACTTGAATAGGTCCTTACATTATCATAACAGAGATAAGAAAGGTAGACAAAGTATGTAGAACAATATACCATGACTAGATTTGCAATTGTTACCTAGCTCTTAAAAAACAGGAAAGAGTTGGGGCTCCTGAGTGGCTTAGTCGGTTAAGCATCCGACTTTCGCGTAGGTCATGATCTCGCGGTTCGTGGGTTCGAGCCCCGCATCGGGCTCTGTGCTGACCGCCAGCTCAGAGCCTGGAGCCTGTTTCAGTCTGTGACTCCCTCTCTCTCTTTATCCTTCCCTGCTCACGCTGTCTCTTC